TCTGGAATGATCCGTTTCTCAAAAAAACTGTGGTTTCTTTTTAGCTTGAAATGATATATCAAGACCATAATTTGGGTTTTTAGAATACTTGCTCCTACTGCCTTGGTCAGTGCTTCTAGGGGGGAAATTCTGTGTATGTGTGTTTATGTGGGGGGAGTGTGTGTGTGTATGTGTGTGTATATCAAGATAAAGTACCTCACAGAGTTTTAGTTTGGGAAGATGAGAAAGTTCTGGAATGTATGGTGGTGATGATGGTTGTACCAAGTCAGTGTACTTAATGTTTTGTCTAATTGTATTATACCTCCAGAACAGTAATAGCAAGCATCCTGTGTGTGTGTGTACTCCTGGCTTTAATGGGTTGTTTCTCGAGTTTCTCCACTAGAGTGAGATGCAGGCTATAAAAAAGTATCTATTGGGGGGCTGGTCAGTTAGCTCTGTTGGTTAGAGCACAGTGTTATAACACCAAGGTATGGGGTTTGGATTCCCTTACTGGCCAGCTGCCAAAAAAAAAGAAAAGAATGAAAAGAAAATGTCTATTACGTCTTTCACAATTTTTTTTTTGTCCTGTAAATATAGTGAACTACTTTCATAGCTTTCTTGATTTCACACTATTCATGTATTCCTGGAATTAACATTTATGGTGCATGATGTTTTCTTTTTTTTCTTTTTTTCCCTTTTTTTTGTCTTTTTACTGACCGGCAATGGGATCGCAACCCTCGGTGTTCTCAGCCAGTGAGCGGGAACCGGTCTCCATGGGATCCGAACCCTCGGCAGGAGCGCCGCCGCGCTCCCAAGCGGTGCACTCTCCAGTGCGCCACCGGGCCGGCCCGCATGATGTTTTCTTTAATGTACTGCTGAATTCTACTGGCTAACATTTAATCAGGATTTTTATTTATAAATTTGCTCTGTCCATTTTTATTGTATTCTAAACACTTTTCAAGTTCATCTTCAGTGTTACTGACTTGGATTTCTGCAGTTTGATATGACTTGTTGCTTCTAATGTTGCTTTGGTTTGGCAAGATGGTCGCATTTCTTTAGTTTCTTTTCTTAGTTCTACCAGATCCAGATTCATCTCATTTGGTTTTCTTCTTGCTTCTTTATCCTGTGCTTCTTAGAAGCCACTTACTCCTTAAGTACATTGGGAATACAAATCAGTTTATATTTAGAATTTTTTTTGATTCCCAAATAGTCTTCCAAATTATATTTTTTAATCTGCTTTTTGCATATTATGTTTTGCTCCCTCCCCACTTTCTCTTTTCTCCCTTTTTTCCCTCCCCTCCCTTTACCAGTTCTATATTGGTCAGTAGGACCCTTGTTGAATCTGATTATGCATTTGGGGGGTAGTGGAATTCTATCAAGACTGCCATTTGCCCAAGATGGGTCAGTAGTGAATCCTTTGCAGCTCTCTGTATTTAAGCATCGTTTAATTCATCCCTTAGGACAACAGAGGGAGTTGGATACCAGCTGATTTTACTCTTTATTGAGATACTCAGCTGTTTGGGGGAGGATCAGGAGGAGGGAGTTTGGAGTGGAGGTGGCCGTAGCCATTTCAGTGGGTGGGTGAGTTGGGGCAGCTGATCTCGTACTGAATCAGTTGAGTCCTTTCATTGCAGGACCCTGTCTGGTGGGGCTCCCCTCAGATCAGACCATATTCTTGCCTGTTACTCCTCTGCCATGTGTAGACTGACTACCAGGTGCCTGGGAAAATGAAGATGATCCCCTCTTCAGCCTCCTCTGCCCCACCATTCCAAGACATGAAGATGACTCCACTTTGGGGTGCATACTGCTTCTCGAAGTGCTCTCTCCTGTGTCCCTTTTCTTTAAGGATTTTGGTGACATTCTGCAGAACTCATTTCAAGCCCCACCTGTGCTTGCTTTTATTTGGAGAGAATTATATCCCATTTCACTGTTCTTCAGTTTGATCTTAGGTTTTATTATACATGGTATGTAGTTTTCCAGATTCATAAAATGAGTTTGTAGCTATTCCTGTATTGTATTAAAGCTAGAGTTACCCTTTTTGTATTTGTTCATTTCAGTGAGTTTCTGGGAGGGGAGTTATGCAAACAAGCACTCTCTCTCTCCTAGGAAAAAGCTTTACCCAAGTAGGAGCAGGCTGAGCCAGTGGGAATCTTACTATGGGGATGTACATGGACAATCAGGCAGGCAGCAGCTTGTAAGTCCAGAGGAATTATGTGGTACAGAATAGGGCCAAAATTATAACAAAATGGCATACAGAGGTGTTTTCTAGGTAAAGACAGGTAAGGAGTTGGCATAAGGATGCCAACTGGTGGAGGGAGAGAAGTGGGCCAGCAGAAACACACCCACAAACTTTGGGACCCTGCCAGTGGAGGGCACTAGGCTAGGCAAAGACCTGTGAGTGCTGGAGTTGCTCCCTTCAGGCCTGGTCACGTGCTGGGGCCTGCTCCTAGGCTTCTGTGAGAGGCCATTGTCTTCCTTGGGCTACTCTGTGTTGGTGTCTGCATCTTAAAACCAAAGGGCCTAATAAAGTAGATGTTTTTTATTTCGCTCTGGATGTAGAATCCCAGATCACCCAAGTATGAGGGGGAAGATGAATGGATAGGGTTTTTGAGAAAAATGAAGGATGTAGTCATTGAGAGAGAACTGACAAGGAAACGATTGCCTAGCAGCATTGAGGGTCTAGCTGAAGTTGGAAACTGTGAATTTACAGCAGCATCACTGTATGGTTGTGGGATTTTTCTCTAGGAATGGGATGTAGGAGCCAAGGTGCTGGCGAGTTGGAAGGACCCAGAATTGGCTGGTAGGACAGGACAGTGGGGCAAGGGACCTAAGCCTATGCGCGGGACAGAGATTGCTGTGCTCTACCGCAGGGTCTAGTCAATAGATAGGTAAGGGAATGAAAGGCCGGGGTTCTGATGGTGAGAAAACTGACCATTGTCAAGGGATTGGAGGGCTTGTTGGAAATGAAGACAGTAAGTAGTGGGAGGAAGTGACCGGGATGTGGTTGTAAAAGAGGAGTAGGATGTTTAAGATTTTAGAGGTGGAATGGTTTTGGATTGTGTCGTGAATGTGGCCATGGAACAGAGTGGCTAACTGGAGTTCTATTGCCTTTGTACCTCTCACCCATTTAGGTAATAATTAGGTAATATTTCTTATCTTGACATTATAAATGCAGAATAATGAAGAAAACCAAGTAGTAAGCAGAGTATTTATTTAGTTTAATTTTATTTTTTAATGGTAAAAATGGCAAATTTTATGTCATATGTATTTTATCAACATAAAAAAAATTTTTAAAAAAGAAGTATGTACAGCATATTACACTTACATAGAGTCCAGTTATAGGTAAACTAATCTACAGTGCTGGAAATCAGAGAGTATGTATTTGGGATTGTGAGATTTTTTTAAAAATTTCATTTAATTAATTTTTATTAAATCAAAATTGATTATACATATTTTGGGGGTTCAACCATATGTTGAACAAATCAATATTACTAGTATATATATTGTTACTGATTGTAATTATTCTTTATGCCCCTTGTCCAATCCTGCCCCATCCCCCTTCCTCTACCCCCTCCTCCCTCTAATCACTCTAGATTTCTTCTCTTCTTCTGAAAGAGTAATGGTTACTCTGTTGATTTGCTGCCCAAATGATCTGTCCAATGCTGAGAAGCGTGATCAGGTCCCCCAATACTATCATAGAGCAGATGTCTTTTCCATCACTGTGAAATGGGCTCTGTGGAGACAGACATCCTCCTCCTTTCTTTATCTCTGCTGGTGACTCTCCTTGTGTCATCTCACTCCAGTAGCTGGTGGACCAATTCACGGCAGCCATGGTTATCGTGGTGGCTGTGGTGGGCCACCCACATGGAGTTGTTGTTTTGGGCCTGTTCCATGGTGCTGGCAATGTGCCTGGTTGTGGAGAGTGTCCAATCCCTGGTTCCATGCCCCGGGTGCCCGAGTGGGTCCCGAGGTGCTGGCACAGTGTGCCTGGTTGTGTGTGTGTGGGGGGGGATCCAGTCCCCAGCTCCTTACCCTAGGTAAGGTGCTGGCACAGTGTGCCTGGTTGTGGGAAGGGGTTTTGGTCCCCTCCATACCTTGGGTCCACGGCAGGCCTCAAGGCACTGGTGCAGTGTGCCTGGTTGTAGGAGGGGGATCCGGTCCCCTTCTCCATGCCCTGGGTCCCAGGGCAGGGCCTGAGGAGCTGGCATGGTGTGCCTGGTTTGGGGGGGGGGGGTCTGGTCCCCTTCGCCATGCCTTGGGTCCCAGGGCAGGCCCTGAGGTGCTGGCACAGTGTTCCTGGTTGTGTGTGGGGGTCTGGTCCCCTTCTCCATACCCTGGGTCCCCAGATGGGCCTTGGGGCACTGGCGTGGGGTGTCTGGTTGTGGGAGGAGGGTCCGGTCACCAGCTCCTTACCCCGGGTTCCTAGGCTGGCCATGAGGCGCTGGCACAGGGTGCCTGGTTGCGGAAGGGGGGGGGGTCTGGTCCCCTTCTCCATGCCCCAGGTCCCAGCGCAGGCCCCAAGGTGCTGGCACAGGGTGCCTGGTTGTGGGTGGGTGGGGGGGACCGGTCTCCTTCATGCCCTGGGCCCCAGCGCAGGTCCCAAGGCACTGGCGAGGTGTGCCTGGTTGTGGGAGGGAGGCTTGGTCCCCTTCTTCATGCCTTGGGCCCCTGGGCGGACCCTGATATGCTGTCTTGGCATGCCTCATTGTGGGAGGGTGGGTCCAGTCCCAACTCCTTATCCTGAGTCCCTGGGCAGGCCCCGAGGTGCTGGTGTGGTGAGCCTGGTTGTGGGAGGGGGATCCGGTCCCCTTCTCCATACCCCGCGTCCCCGGGCAGGCCCCAAGGTGCTGTCATGATTTTGGATTGTGTCATGAATGTGGCCATGGAACAGAGTGGCTAACTGGAGTTCTATTGCCTTTGTACCTCTCACCCATTTAGGTAATAATTAGGCAATATTTCTTATCTTGACATTATAAATGCAGAACAATGATGAAGAAAACCAAGTAGTAAGCAGAGTGTTCTTTTAAAATTACTTAAAAAAGGTTGTTTACAGAGATGTGGATTTACATAACTTGGCGACAACATTTTAAAAATGTACAGGCTATTCCATATTATTGCACTTACTCTTTAATATATAAGGCATTTTATTTTACATAAATAAAGGATAATGTATAATATCATACAACAGATGTGGTGCCAATTAAGTCAACCATAAAATTAAAGAGATGTATGTGGGAGGATGGAAATGAAACCCAACCTACTTCAACCAACATGGTATGTTCTTGCAGTTACGATTTACATGTTATAACACATATTTACCCTCATAGCTTATTGTGAATGACCAGTTAAGAAAAACAAAACAATAGAAGTTTTAGTAGGACAGTAATACCATTAGTGTTCACTTCAGGAAGTGTGAATTTATTAGACTAATTAGAAATACTAGTCATGCCTTGAATACTGAAGACAAATAAATAGCTTTCTATCTTAGGGTCAAAGACAGTTGAGCTTTTGCTTCTTCCCTTAAATTCCAACTATTGGCCAAGGATCCTTCTGGCAAGATATAATAGAAATGGCAATGACTTTAATGGTGTCATAAACCAGAGGTCTACCCTTGTACCTTTCAGATAAGAGGATTAGGAGATCCCATTGCTCCACATTGCTCTAGAAATTCCTGTCTGTCCACATAGGACTGCATTTCTTATTAGTAGACCTAGCTGTAAGAGTGGAGGCAAAAATGGTTTTCAGTGTTGACTTCAAATAGTCTCGTCACTTAGGCAAGAAAGCAGAAACCACGAAATTGACCCAAGACAGTTAAAACAATCTAGCATGCACCTTGCACTGACTTTCTATAGTATCCTACCTGTAATTGTAGTGAAAAGTAGAAGCTAAATCAGGTCTTTCTAGCTAACTCCTGTACTATATTCTCCTTTGTATAGCTTGTTGAAAAATGAGAAATCTGAGCTTAGACAAGCCAGATCATGTGCATCTGAGGGACCGACCTTCTCTGGGCTGACTCTACAGATGTTTAGTGGGATTGGTCGCTCAGAAAAATGATGTGCAAAGGTGATGGCTCAAGCACCTCCATGGTCCGGGGGGGGTCATAGCCATACACCCAAGTTGTACCTTATTCAAAAAAATCTCCAACATAAAATGGTAGTGTTGTCATGTGCACAGATATGACACACGTATTCTCCACCCGTATTCCCAGGATTCAACGGGTCGGTCTGTGCCACCTGAGGATTTTGGTTGTGACTACATAGTTTTGGTTGTAACTACATACCTTGACAGTGACTCACCCTGTTTCTCCATTTTCCTCCTCTTTCTTCTGACATTTTGGTAAATGAAGCTGATGTGGGTTTGGAGTTTAAGAAAACAGTATAGTATGAGGGGAGAAAAACCCAACTTTGTGATGACAATCAGCACATCGAATGCGAACAGCTACTACAAAGAAGCTTGTGCTTCAAAAGGAGGCGCACGCAGGGTGAGTTTCACAGGCAGCATGAGTCACAACAGTCTTCTGCAGTGAAACATTTTCGGCAAAAGGAAGAATTTGCAAAATAGGAAAACAAAAAGAGCAAAAACTTCAGTCACTGCAGAGTCATGTCTTTACACCAGGTCAAGAAAACAGATCCAATACTTAGAAATATTACATTTCTTAAGCACGCTGGAGAAGAGGAGAAAAACCAGCCAAAGTCCTGTAAAAGGATTATTTTAAGCTCCTCTATTTGGATTGTAGATATAATGCCTATGTTTATAAATATAAATCCAAGGACACTAAAGAGATACAGTACTTGATTTCTAAAAATTAGTTTAAATTAGCAGTTGGAGTGCATAAAATGTAGAAATGGAAACCCAGTGACTGTGGTATTTTTGCCTGTTCTTGCATCAACCAGTCTTGGGTTCAAGCACTTACTCAGGACAAGTTCAGAAACTAGATGCATGGTGCTTTCAGATCTGGAACTTTCTGCTCCTAAGCTGTGAAACTCATGGCAATTTAGTACAGTTTACCGGAACTACTAGTCTGTAAAACAGCCTTATGACTTATGTTTTTGGAGATAGAAAACGTTCAACAATTCATGATCATCAATAACCCACTGAGTTGAACTCTGCATCCATACATTATACATTCCACTCACTAAAAAATATTACTTTCTGTATTTTGCTTTTTCATTTTCAGATAATTCCTGAGCTCAGCCTAACGATTAGGTCATAATTCATATATATTTTTTTAAAGTCTCATTTTCTTTTCAGGGTAACATTTATAGACCTATAGCTCCTCCTTCCATTGAATGTGCCTAAAAGTATTGTGTCATTTACTTATGAAATTCTATAAAACTATAGTCCTCTTAGTTGTGACATCTGTGGCACCCCTCAGACTTTGTTCATTCCCTCATCACCAGGATGTTGGGAGAGCTGGCAAGAGGGATGCGGAGTTCTGGCTGTTTCAAATGAAGACGGGCATGTCACATCTTGTATCCCCATCAGCAAACATAAAGGGGACAGGCACTGGAACAAAATGAATGCTCCACCCAGGGTGAGCCAGGTGGAAGGCTTCCAGAGTCCAACTTTGCTGCTGTGGCACACACAATAGGTCAGGCTTCGTGTGCAAGCACAGACTTGGAGATTTTTATAGGCCTTGTCTGTACCAATGTTTGTTGTTTTAAGAACCCATCGTTTAAAGTAAGAAAAGGGAACTGAGAAAAGGAGATTCTTGTTAAAATTCATGAAGAATTCTTGTGCTTTCTAATTACTAACTGCACTTGTCCTTCTGGGACAGACTTCATAATATTCCAGGCATCGAAGTGCATGAGCCCAACCAGAGGTTTTCCATTAATAGCAAGAATTTCATCTCCAGCTTCTATTGTTCCAGCTTGTTCAGCTGCACCACCTGTGAGAATAAATGCAGAAAAATGGCTTAGCACTTCCATAGTTTTCAAAAAAATTCCAAGTAGACTTAAATAAGAAAAATCTCTAAATGATATGCCATTTATTCTTAGACACAAAAAGCATATATCCATAAAAATAAGTTGGACTACATAAAAAATTTCAACTCTGTAACACCTTTCCCTCTACCCCCGCAAAACATAAGCAAGATAAAAATAAGTTGCTTACAAGGGGAAGATATTTTCAATGTATTTAATCAACAAAGGGTTAACACCCAGAGTAGGTAAAGAACTACAAATCAATAAGAACATGACAAAGTAAAGTAGGGCAAAGGAAAATAGCTAAAATACAAATACCCAATAAATGTGGGAAAACAGGTTCAACTGTTATTTGTTAACAGATAGCTGGCTGATATATCAAGTTCTGAAAAACCAGTGATTACATGATCATCAGTGACTGTGGAGATAACTGATTACACACAAACATACTTCTACTATATTATAGCTTTGCGTAGGATATAGCAAACTTAGGAGCTTTGAAAAACACAATTTAAGGCTTCCTCCACCTACCTTCTTGTACACATAGACCTAAAACAGTCACCTTGAAGAAATGCACACTGGCTATGGAGGCATCTTATCACTGAAAAAACAGCATTGAATAAAAAAATTCCCAAGTATGAAAATAAAAATTAGTTTTCGTTTTCTCAGAAATCTAAATCAGATCTCAAAAGACTGAGCAGATGTATCCATTTTATCTTAAATTTCTGAAAGTCATTGTTAAATATTATTTGATATTTATAAACAGGTAATTATAGTTGATTATAAAAATTACTAAAATAATACCTGAAAACAATCAGTTCAAATGCAATCCTCCCAAGGACAAAGAAATTTTATGTTGATAATGATGGAGGCAGATATTATCAGAAGAGAGACCACACCAATGTCAGCCCCGTAGTGGGAGCAAAGAGAATGATTTAGTCCCAGTCAAGATACACATTTTTGGAAAGACCAAAGCACTGTTCTTTGGCATAACCGTTTATACCTGGGGCAACACATGTACCCGATGTCCTGTTCTAGAATGTTAACTGAAGGCCCCAGGCAGGTTATGTGAAACCATAGAATGTGTGTGTGTTCACCTGGGTCTAAGGACACAGGAGGTTCCAACCAGGCAACACAGGAGGCTGTGTGTTAGTGGGAAGCACACTGAATGAGCAATCAGATTGGGTGTTGGTCTCAGTTCTGTGATTTGAGGAAGTTACAAATTTCTCTAAACCTCAGTTTTCTTATCTGCAAAATGGTGATGGTAGTACCTGCCTTGTTATCTCACTAGGGTATTACAAGGACCGAATGAGAGGAAGTAGGTGAAAGTCCCTTAGGAAACTTTGGGTGTTGTGCAGACCAAAGGTCGTGCCAGCATTTGTACTTCTTTTACACGAGAGAGAAATAAACTTCTCTCTTTCTAAATAACAGTTTAAACTACTGTTATTTTGAGTTTTCTATTACATGAGGCCAAACTGAATTCTAACTCATTTGAGCAGGATACGTCTGTCTCTCCATTTATGGAGATTTGGAAAAAAAAAAAAAAAAGTCCTTTGAGGGAGCTTTTAAGCTTTTCTCCAGAGGTCTTACATAGCTTTTGTTTTGACACATTCTTAGTTTCCTTGCAGTTGTTATTGTGAATTGGTGTCACATAGTGGTAAATCAAAAAGCATTTGGCAGGGCCGGCCTGTGGCTCACTAGGGAGAGTGTGGTGCTGATAACACCAAGGCCACAGGTTTGGATCCC